TATATATATATAATTAAAAAAACAACAAACTTTTCTTCGTACACACTACGCGCCTTGCGGCACCACGCCTGGCGCAGAGCAAGACGCAACCCACATGACAAGGCCGCGGCGTCGCTTGCATACCGGACGGCACAAGGCCCATGGCGGAGTGCCACCCAGGCGTAGCCAACCTCAAAGAGAGCGGTTAACTCATTTTTATTCCGATCACAGCCGATCTGTGTTTTGACTGAACATTTTCGCGCGCTATCGACCTTCCTTCGAGTTTTGCGTCTCAAAGGTGGAATTCGCCAAGGATCTTCCTGGTATACAAAGTTTCTATTTTTAATCAATATAGGAATCAAGATTTATACCTGTTGTTTTGTTAATTTATGTTTCAGTCAACAATGCCTACCTGTAGAAAGGTCAACACCCACAGTGTGATCACAAGATAACTGCACAATTATTTCTAGGCGAATGACTCAATAAATAATCAGGGACCATATCTTTTACAACGCAAAATAATCAGTCAGTATAGTTAATATCAAACGAAAAATAAGAAAATGATTAGTTTTTCTCAGTTATAAATAGCCAAAACGGAAATATTTCGTAAAGGTCTGAAACAAATGACGCAACCTCCAATAGGCGATAGTTCTAGTCTGAAGTAACTAACCAACGTCCTCTAAAACAAGATAAACATTTTCCCATTTGATGATGGGAAACTAATTCAGGCTACGCAATGTTCGGCTACATAGGCACACAAATAACTACGCAATATGTATATACAGTACACTGTGCTTCTAAACAATTCTTGTCCTTGGCTTCCTCAATTTCTTTCTCTTTTAATTTTCTATGACTTTTCTATATCATAAATACCATCCAACTTAATATTTATTATTCGTGAGTTTAGGTTAAATTAATAAATAGGTCCATCTTAATTAAAGGCCATTAAATTATTTTAATTAATGATATTAAATATAGTAGAAATATTTTTACTTTAGCATAACGAGGTAATGGCATATACAAGTCAATTGTTTTACACAAAATAACATACATAATGTGATGAATCACAGGGGCAAACAGGATGATAAGATATGTTAGTCATGGTCTGCATGTGTTAAACATGCGCATTGTGGCGCAACAAGTGCAAGTGAATATGGTGACATCATTGCAAGTTTACGATGAACGGTTTGGCCATCAACATAAACAAAATGTGAAAAGTGGCCTGAAGTAGATGAACATCAACGTGAAGGAGGGGAAGGAAGAATTCTGCAACCGATGTGCACTGGGAAAATGCATAGGTTGCCATTCAAGAATCAATGGCAACTGGTGAAAAAATCCACGCCGATGTAAACGGATCCATTCGACTGAATCTCTCGGAAAGGCGCGCTACTATGTGAATTTAAAGATGATTTTAGCAAGTATCATCGAGTTATCTTTTCGAAGCAGAAAAGTGAAGTTTGCACCGTTTCGGAGCAATTTTTGAATGAAGCTAAGACGAATTGACATGTTATCAAATAACTGAGGTGTGATTGAGGAAACAAACTTGACAACAAGGTCTCTGAACTTCTGGCAAGCATGGGCATAGAACATTGCATTACTGCGCCGAATAAACCACAGCGCAATGGAGTTGCGGAGCGTGAAAATCGAACCATTGTCGAGTGCGGGCATTCCATGTTGAATCCAAGCAATTTGCCAAAAGAACTGTGGGCAGAAGCATGCAATACTGCCACATACTTCCTGAATCGCATTGGAAAGTCTTCCATTGAAACTAAGTCTCCTTATGAATTGTAGCATGGACGACCAGTAGGAAGTCTCAAACATTTGAAGATTTTCGGAACAGAGTGTTACGTGCACATCATCTCGTAGTTTGACGATAAAGCTGTTCATGGGCATCTTTTGGATACGTGAACGACAGGAAGGGATTCAGGGTCTGAATTTCGACTCAAAAGTAGATAGATCTGAGTCACAATGTAAGATTCAAGCTTGAAGTTGCCTGCAATGGGCACGTCAATGCCGACAAGCTTGAAGATTCGTGTGAAAAATTTTCATCATCCGACAAGTCGACGTCGATGAAAGGAAAAAGAATGGAGTGAAGCTAAAGAAGTTGCACCGGAGTCCAGCTCCAGAGGAAGTGATGCTCCAGCTGAAGAAGATGCCAAAGAAGAGGCAACAAGAAAAAGCAAATGTGAATCGAAGAAACCAGTGGATGGATGTGGATGACCAACGAAGATTTTGGCTACATGGCCGAATCGTCGATCACTCAAAACAAGAATCCAAATTCCTACACTGAAGTGCTGCAGTCTCCTGACTTAGAAGAGTGGTTGAAGGCACTTAAAGAAGAATTGGATTCTTTAGAGAAAAATGATTCCTGGGTGTTGGTTGTACGTCCAAAAGACGTACAAATCTTGAAGAAGCTCTGAGTCTTTTGCCAAGAACTATGGACAGTGGAAAAATCCGCTTCAAGGTTAGATTAGTTGCAAACGGTTTCGTACAAAGACTGGGAATTGAATATGAAGAGACTCAGCCCTGTTGCACGATATGAAACCATTCGGATCTTGTTGGCGGTGGCTGCTGTATTTGGAACGAAGCTCGCTCAATTTCTTGTCGAAACTGCTTTTTTGAACGGCGTGCGTGTAGACGTCGTGTATACGGGACAACAGGAGGGTTTTGAGAACAATACTGTACGTGTTACGGGAAGAAAATATTGAATTGCCTACAACAAACGCCGCGCTGCTGGAACAAACGATTTGATTAGTTTATGAAGCAAAGTTGTTTCCAAAACAGTGCATATCCATGTTTGTTCTACCGCGAGAGATATAAAACATGTGTATGTTGCAAGTTTTGTGAATGGCGGTGTGGTTATTGCAACTGAAATAAAAGAACTCGAGGAATCCATGGAAAAGTAATAGCAGGAATTTCATTCGACACCAGGATCTCTCAGATACTTCTTGGGCAGAATACAGCAAATTAAAGATGAATCAATAGCAATTGATCAAGAAGACTACACACAAAAAGGTTTGAAAGCATTTGTAATGGCCGATTCGAATGGCGTGACTACTCCAATTGGGCGTGAGGGCAACGATAAAGGAGAAAAGGTCACGTCCAAGGTTTCTCATTGTGAAGCAGTGGGTTCTTTAACGTACCTAACTACAGCAACACGTCCTGACGTTGTTTTCGCAGTAATAAAGCGACTCGGGCCATGGAAAATCCTAAAAATTAATATTGGAATCAAGCGAAACGAATATTTCGATATTTGAAGAGCACCGTGAATTATGGAATCGTCTTCAAGAAGGGACGAGGTTTGAAGGTCTACAGTGATGCTGACTACGCCAAACAAAAGACGATCAACAACAGGTCATTGCAACCATCATGGAGGAGCAGTATCGTGGACCAATCAGTTACAAAAGTCAGTGGCAACGTCGACTACGTAAGCAGAAATAATAGCAGCAAGGGAAGGATTTAATCTGGCTGAAAAGATTACTATCTGAATTGCTGGAAACTGAAAAAAATCTACGCTCTACATCGATAATATTGGTGCCGTAAAACTAGCGACTAGAGTACATCGACGGAACCAATCAGCATGTCGATCTAATGACTATTCCTCTGGAGAGGGTTAGATTTGAGATGCTACGTGAGAGGATCGACATACGGAAGGTTGAATGAACTGAGTATTTAATGTAGTTAATTTTGTGTAGTTTATGTTCATTTGATTTTTTTTTATTTTAGAGGAAGTGTTAATATGAAAAGAAAAATGTAGACAGTAACGCCATTGGTGTACGTTTCTTAGATCTTTTTGAACTGAGAACTTGTTTGGTTGATCTGTCGAGTCAGTGCGAGGTCGGGCGTGCTTTGTTACGGACGTTTATGAATACTACTGCTTTGCACACTCAAGATGAGTAATAAAATAACATGTATACAAAGACATTAATACGAAGTATAGAAATTATTTAATAATAAATAACAACCCAGTTGGTTCGAGGAACATCTGCCAGAAGAAAGGAATATTAAATATTAAACAATACGAAAAATTTCTGTGAAATTTTAAAAAACTCCAAAGTAATTGCAATCTGCACTATTGGCTTTGCTCCAAAACCTGTTCAATGCTGTGACCATGGATGGGACATGTTTGTGCATGCCATTGAATATCCTGTTTTATTCAGAGATCACTGCTTCTGTAAATCTAGCTCTATTTTACTCATATTTATGTGACTAACAACCATAAATCTATTATACCTATGGAACGTTTACTACATTTGTAAGAGAAACGTTGGAACATAAGTAATGGAACTCTTGTTATCATGAAATAATCAATAAGCATTATTTACCGGATCCAAATAAAAAATAAAAAAGAACATTCTATAGATTTTACATTTATTTTAATTATCACATTATTTGTTTTCCATTATTACAGTCACACTCCTTTCAAACATCCATCAACACCTGATAAAAAATGTAAGAATATATTCACATCTTCCAAAGTGATATGTACATAAGAAATATAGTTTTTATAAAATAAAAATAAATCCATGTTTGTATGAAGAAATTTCTTGACATAAAAAAATAATGTTCATGTTGTGGTATTCTTGCCATGTTTGTCATTGGCTTCAAAGTGATACAAATCAATAATGAAAATAGAAAGTACTTCAGATGCAATTTTAAAATATATATTTCAGTTCTTCACTCCACTTTTTTACAATAAGACATTACTGATTTAGAATCCTCATCACACATCACAACACTGACATAGGGGAGTGAAGGATGGGAAACTCAAATAATCACATTATGGTAATGAGCAAATACTGAAACTGTATGTTGTCTGAAATATCATAAATAGGTTTGATTCAATATTCACATGAATGACCTAGATAAATATTAAACTTCCAGCTGATTGCCATTTGCAAGAGAAGTAAGATGATCTTGTGTACTTTCACTTTTATCTTGTGGATTCAAAGCATTTCTCGTTTCACTTTCACCAATAATATTATCTTGAGGTTGAAGTTCGATATTCTTTTCAGGTTCAGGTACAATCAATCGAGTATCAACTAGTCTCAGCCAAACCATGGAGACTGCCATCATAACTGTTGTGATGCCAAATGTCCATATAGTTCCTAGTCTTGTATATATAGAGCTGACAAATACTGGGCCCATCACCCGAGACAGACAACCAGATCCTGTCATTAAGCCCATCCATACACCCTGCACAACAAACCAAATGCAAATAAAAACTAAAATATAATTAGGCTATACATTGTATACTGTTGTAATTTGAAAAGAAAAATAACAACAACAACAAATGTACTCTAAATTCATATGAAGCTAATAACAGATTTTTTTTGAAAGGATATGAGAGTAAAGAAATTACTCTTAAAAAGGGACCAGTCTGACAGACCAGAAAACAAAAGAAAGTCATGTTGTTTCCTTTATGTATGGTTTGGAGGTGATGGTGAGGTGGAGGGGG